CGCTAAATATGCCTTTTATATGCGCGTGGTGACGCTGAAAGGTCCGATTACAAAACCAATAGAAATACAGAACAACAGATAAGCATTGTAACTATGTGGCTATCTAAGATCATTCTGAAATTAGTGAACTAATCAATAATCAATAATCAATAATCAATATTCAATAATCAATAATCAATATTCAATAATCAATATTCAATAATCAATATTCAATATCAATAATCAATCAAAAAATGAGCCTTCTGGCTAATGAGCTTAACATGGCTCCCCTGAAATATTCATATTTCACCTATCGTAATTATTACTCTATCAAAGCTCAAGCGTTGACTAAATAAATTTTCCTCTCAAAGTTCAGTTCATTTCTTGTCAAGGCTCCTCGGCCGGGAATTACTCCGGTTCTCGTCCCTTGGCGCTTGCATCAACAACACTAGCTTCTGGATTGGTCTCTCGAGATACCGCACTGAGCCAATCCTCTTGCCTCGTTTATCCAAACAGCTATCCGCAAGAGCTATTTGGACTTTACGGACCTGGCCATCAGGGCTAGGGTAAACAGTTGAAACACGAACAAGTTGCAATGCTCTCCGAGGGAGATTCTCGCTCGTCTTTGATCATGACGACGTCATCAACTTGTAAATTTCTCCGATTGCGTGCCCACTTCTGCCGATACTGGAGTCCCAGAACTCGTTCACCAGGTGTTGGACTCGCCTCCAGCGCTTCCTGCAATAAACATCTGATGGCTGGAACGCGCCTGGCGGAGCAAAAACAACCTTTGACTTCATCGTCAGGAGATGGTTAGGGGTTAAAGGACTTGGCGAATCTGGATCAGCAAGTTGGTTCACTGTCAAGGGGCGACTATTGACTATTGCTTCGGCTTCACACATCAAGGTTCTAAGAGACTCATCGTGCAGCTGTTTGCCGTTATCATGCAATAGTGACGAGAGAACGTTACGCACGGATATGATTTGGCGCTCCCAAGCTCCTCCCATGTGGCTCGCTGCCGGGACGTTCATCTTGAAGGAAAACCAATCGCACTGTTCTTCTAGTTGAGTCGTTTTTAACTTCTCTTGGTCCATCTCAGCTAGCGCTTGGGTAACTTCCTTACGAGCTCCAACGAAGTTTGTACCCTGGTCACTCCTTAGCTGGCGGATGGGACCACGACGACTAATGAATCTCCTCAAGGCATTGATGAAGGAATCCGTCTCGAGCGAGATAGCGATCTCAAGGTGAATGGCTCTCGACGCCAAGCAGGTAAAGAGGACACCATAGCGTTTCAGCTCTGTACGACCATTTTTAACAATGAAGGGCCCAAAGTAATCCACGGCGCAATAAGTGAAAGGTGGTGTGGATTCAAGGCGGTCCTCAGGTAGATCTGACATTCTTTGCTCTTGAACTGAACTGCGGAGTTTCTGGCACTTGACGCAAGACGAAATCAAGTTGGTGACTATCGATGAACCTCCGAGTATCCAAAAACCATTCGAGCGTATTTCATTTAAGGTCATTCCCTTGCCTTGGTGATGTATGCGTTGGTGATAATGTTTAGCGACCAGGTGGGTAACATGACTGTCTCGCGGAAGTATGATGGGGAACTTGATGTCATCAACTAGGGTTGCCCGTCTGAGACGTCCACCAACTCGCAAAATTCCGTTAACATCTAGAAATGGATCAAGCTTGTAAAGCGAACTACCTGTTTTCATGCTAGTTTTTCTTTGCCGTGTGAGGACTCTACTTTCTTTGTCTGTGTTTTCTTGCTTCATGTTCCTCAAAGTTGCTATTTCTTCTTTAAAGGCCTTTAACTGTACTGCACGAATTATTGCGCGCTCTGCGCTTTCCAAGTCTTCGACCTTAACTTCTTGAAGTTCTTCGTTGTTACCANACCGCAGTTCAAAATATATGAACTTCATATATTCATTGTATCTGATTTATCATCACGGGTTTATTACGAATCAACTTAACGGCCTGCTCCCAGTTGGCTTGTTAGCTCAATTGGTAGAGTGCTGCACTAGTATCGCAGAGGTCAGTGGTTCGAATCCCGTACAGGCCTGATTTTTTTCAGGTCTGATTTTCGCTATTGCATAAATAGCGCTATCTACTGCGAAGGATCGTGCATCATACGTATTTAATACCGCAGTTCAAAATATATGAACTTCATATATTCATTGTATCTGATTTATCATCACGGGTTTATTACGAATCAACTTAACGGCCTGCTCCCAGTTGGCTTGTTAGCTCAATTGGTAGAGCGCTGCACTAGTATCGCAGAGGTCAGTGGTTCGAATCCCGTACAGGCCTGATTTTTTTCAGGTCTGATTTTCGCTATTGCATAAATAGCGCTATCTACTGCGAAGGATCGTGCATCATACGTATTTAATACCGCAGTTCAAAATATATGAACTTCATATATTCATTGTATCTGATTTATCATCACGGGTTTATTACGAATCAACTTAACGGCCTGCTCCCAGTTGGCTTGTTAGCTCAATTGGTAGAGTGCTGCACTAGTATCGCAGAGGTCAGTGGTTCGAATCCCGTACAGGCCTGATTTTTTTCAGGTCTGATTTTCGCTATTGCATAAATAGCGCTATCTACTGCGAAGGATCGTGCATCATACGTATTTAATACCGCAGTTCAAAATATATGAACTTCATATATTCATTGTATCTGATTTATCATCACGGGTTTATTACGAATCAACTTAACGGCCTGCTCCCAGTTGGCTTGTTAGCTCAATTGGTAGAGCGCTGCACTAGTATCGCAGAGGTCAGTGGTTCGAATCCCGTACAGGCCTGATTTTTTTCAGGTCTGATTTTCGCTATTGCATAAATAGCGCTATCTACTGCGAAGGATCGTGCATCATACGTATTTAATACCGCAGTTCAAAATATATGAACTTCATATATTCATTGTATCTGATTTATCATCACGGGTTTATTACGAATCAACTTAACGGCCTGCTCCCAGTTGGCTTGTTAGCTCAATTGGTAGAGTGCTGCACTAGTATCGCAGAGGTCAGTGGTTCGAATCCCGTACAGGCCTGATTTTTTTCAGGTCTGATTTTCGCTATTGCATAAATAGCGCTATCTACTGCGAAGGATCGTGCATCATACGTATTTAATACCGCAGTTCAAAATATATGAACTTCATATATTCATTGTATCTGATTTATCATCACGGGTTTATTACGAATCAACTTAACGGCCTGCTCCCAGTTGGCTTGTTAGCTCAATTGGTAGAGTGCTGCACTAGTATCGCAGAGGTCAGTGGTTCGAATCCCGTACAGGCCTGATTTTTTTCAGGTCTGATTTTCGCTATTGCATAAATAGCGCTATCTACTGCGAAGGATCGTGCATCATACGTATTTAATACCGCAGTTCAAAATATATGAACTTCATATATTCATTGTATCTGATTTATCATCACGGGTTTATTACGAATCAACTTAACGGCCTGCTCCCAGTTGGCTTGTTAGCTCAATTGGTAGAGTGCTGCACTAGTATCGCAGAGGTCAGTGGTTCGAATCCCGTACAGGCCTGATTTTTTTCAGGTCTGATTTTCGCTATTGCATAAATAGCGCTATCTACTGCGAAGGATCGTGCATCATACGTATTTAATACCGCAGTTCAAAATATATGAACTTCATATATTCATTGTATCTGATTTATCATCACGGGTTTATTACGAATCAACTTAACGGCCTGCTCCCAGTTGGCTTGTTAGCTCAATTGGTAGAGTGCTGCACTAGTATCGCAGAGGTCAGTGGTTCGAATCCCGTACAGGCCTGATTTTTTTCAGGTCTGATTTTCGCTATTGCATAAATAGCGCTATCTACTGCGAAGGATCGTGCATCATACGTATTTAATACCGCAGTTCAAAATATATGAACTTCATATATTCATTGTATCTGATTTATCATCACGGGTTTATTACGAATCAACTTAACGGCCTGCTCCCAGTTGGCTTGTTAGCTCAATTGGTAGAGTGCTGCACTAGTATCGCAGAGGTCAGTGGTTCGAATCCCGTACAGGCCTGATTTTTTTCAGGTCTGATTTTCGCTATTGCATAAATAGCGCTATCTACTGCGAAGGATCGTGCATCATACGTATTTAATACCGCAGTTCAAAATATATGAACTTCATATATTCATTGTATCTGATTTATCATCACGGGTTTATTACGAATCAACTTAACGGCCTGCTCCCAGTTGGCTTGTTAGCTCAATTGGTAGAGTGCTGCACTAGTATCGCAGAGGTCAGTGGTTCGAATCCCGTACAGGCCTGATTTTTTTCAGGTCTGATTTTCGCTATTGCATAAATAGCGCTATCTACTGCGAAGGATCGTGCATCATACGTATTTAATACCGCAGTTCAAAATATATGAACTTCATATATTCATTGTATCTGATTTATCATCACGGGTTTATTACGAATCAACTTAACGGCCTGCTCCCAGTTGGCTTGTTAGCTCAATTGGTAGAGTGCTGCACTAGTATCGCAGAGGTCAGTGGTTCGAATCCCGTACAGGCCTGATTTTTTTCAGGTCTGATTTTCGCTATTGCATAAATAGCGCTATCTACTGCGAAGGATAGTGCATCACACGTCTCAGTAAATTTGTTTCACCCGGGTCTAAAATATACCTAGGAAATCTCCGTCAGCTCTTGTTCTTTTTTAGAAATCAAAGCTTTATTTCAACTTTCTTAGAGACTGTTATTACATGAGGAGCTGGGATAATTGGGGAAGCTCGATGCCGAAAGGTTCAAACTCGTCAGTAAAACCCGGACAAGTTATGCTACTGACTCTTATTTTACAAAGTTACGAATTATTTCTTCTAAATTTGGTAACCATCTGCTATTTCCACTATTTGGAGATTTTAATGTAACACAAATGGCGTTAACCCTCCTTGTGGAAAGAATGGGTTTGACTCCCAAGGGAGAACAAATCATTATCTAAGGTCTTTCTTGATATGACGACCAACTAACAACCCAGCTTCATTGTATCCACAAGGAAGCTAGCTCTCTGCACTCATTGATGACTGACAGGTAATACTGCAATACGTACGGCACTGAGAGGTGACAGGTGAAAGACTTAGAGGTCTTTTTACAACACAAATGACAAGGTAGGGCTCAATGCTATCGTTGAAAGCAGTCACTCCAAGGCAAGGAACGGCTTCATCACCAACCAAGAAACGATTGCAATACCTTTGACTCCAGAAATGAGTGAATTCGTTACAGGAGGGTTCAACTATGAGTCCATCACATGTGGCAACGAAGAAACGATAAAACACTCGCACGCAATGGATACAAACATTTCAAAGTCCAATGATGTATCTTGCTGCAGTGAAAAGGGAAACAATCAAATGTCCAAAAAAAGGTCACATGAAATGTAAAGTAGGATTATGTATATATGTATGAAAAGTAAAGGGCTGAATAGGAATTACGCTCTGAGGTTACACCTGGCTATATACATGAAGTCTTGTTCTTTTGGACTTTCTCGAAGCAAATTTTTTTAGAAAAATTCAATTCCGGTACACTTGCTTATGCCAATACGGAGACGGTATTTGCACTTGCGGTGACTAAGCATGTGACGAAGTTTTTTATCGACACATAGAATCGATAAAAAGAATTAGTGAAAACCAGAGTGTTAGGTTACCTCATATCTCCTCCTCGAGAAACTTAGTAAAGTAGGATAAATAATCGATTTTCCCCCAATGAACTGAATACCTACTGGCAGAATGACCAAAGATATCAAATTAAAACAAAGAAAGATAATGTAACATCCAGGTCTCATTGGTCAAATGGAAGTCAGGAAGTTTTTGCCAAAAGAGAAAATTAAATAAGACTATTTGGATCAAATTGCACCTATTTCGCGAATTCGGTCACAGAAAGCAATCTGCGACATGAAGAATTCAATTTTGTTCTTTGTTCTGTTACTTTGGTAATATCTGCTTCTGTTTCATCTCAAGGTAAGCTTTACCATAACATATATCTGAGGGGAGATATTGAAAGAAAAGTGGTCCTTCTTAATAATAGTTACCGTTTAACACCCGTAACTGTAATTTGCTTAAAGTGCACCTAAACCCAAAAATTTTTTTCGCTTAACGAAATAAGTGTATTTTTTGAAGTATATCTGTGGAAAAATTCTTTTATTTGCTCAAATCTTCAATTTTCTGTGCCCAGTCAAAATACGGAAAATCGGCCGCCATCTTGCCCTACGACCGAGTTTAAAGAGGAATGGCTCTAGCGGGTAATGTGACGTCAAATCG